CTGGGAGGCCATGGAACAGGTCTTTGTCAAACAGAGAGAGAGAAGAGATTCTCCTTAAAAATGCAGCATCTCTTAGTGGATAGAAGACCAAAAATAGCTGGGGATGTTGGCCACTGCTATGAGCCCTGCAGGCATTATTTGTGCCTCAGTGGTAAAGAATCAACTTGCAATGCTGGAGATGCGGGTTCGATCCCTGGGTCAGGAAGATTCCCTGGAGAAGGAAATAGCAACCCACTCCAGAATTTTTGCCTGGAAAATCCCATGGACAGAGGAGCCTGGCCGGGTACAGTTCATTGGCTTGCAAGAGTTGGACACGACTTAGTGACTAAACCACCACGAGCCCTGCAGTTGGGGTAGTTTTGAATCATGAAGAATTTTGACCCTTCAACCCATCCTGTGAGCTCAGCGTTCAAAACACATCCATAACCTGCTCACTTCAATCCCTCCACGGCTCCCATCCTGATCTCTTCCATCTTCTCCAGCCGTTCCCATTGACTCAGCCTCCTCAGTCTTCCTGCTCCCGTCTCACCTCCCACAGTCACTTTCCCACACCCACAGCCCACAGCCGCAGGGCTCCCATGAACACCCGACCTAGATCAGGGCCCTCCCCTGCTCATAACCATTCTGAGAACTCATTTCAAAGTCCTCTCCTCCCTGTGGCCCAGGAGGACACTCACAAGCTGCCCTCTCCCTGTTCCCTGATGTCATCACTTACCATTTACCCCTTCCTCCCTTTTCTCCTGCCACAAAGTGTCAGTCGCTTAGCAGTGTCTGATTCTTTGTGACCCCATGGACTGTAGCCTGGAGCCTCCTCTGTCCATGGGATTCTCCAGGTAAGAATATTGTAGAATACTGGTAGCCATTCCCTTCTCCAGGGGATCTTTCTGACCCAGGGATCGAATCTTGATCTCCTGCATCGTGGACAGATTCTTTACCACCTGAGCCAACAGGGAAGCCCCAATTCCTGGAACACATCAGGCACACTGTCACCTCGGGGCCTTTGCACTGGATGTTCCCTTGGAATGCTCTTCCCCCAGCATCCACATGACCTCCTCTCTCTCCACTTTAGGGGTTTGCTAAAGTGTCCTCTTGTAAATAATAGTAATAATAACATAGAGACTTCCCTGGTGTCCAGTGGTTAAGGCTTTGTGCTTCCAATGCAGGGGGCTCAGGTTCAATCCCTGGTTGGGGAACTAAGTGTGGCATAGCCAAAAATTTTTTAAATACAATAATAAAATAAATATCACCTTCTCAGCGAGGCTTCCCCTGAACACCTTCTGAGCAAACTGCGCTCATGCATGTCTCATCCTCCTTCCCTATTTTACTATCTTCATAGCAGTTATCATCATCTGACACATGTTTTACTTGAGAATTGTGCATCTTTTACACTAGATTGTAAACTCCAGGAAGGAGGGAGTTTTTCCCTATCTTGTTCATCATTTTATCCCAGATGCCCCAAATAGTGTGAGCTCAATAAACATGTTATATGAATGAATGGTCCTTGGAAGAATTAAAACATACCTACTTCCAGCTCCCAAAGAGCCAAGATGCTAGTGAGGTGACAAAAAATAAATAATCAGATATTTTCACATGGCAATACGAGCAAAGATGGGAAACCATGATTATGTATCGGGGCTAACTAGGCAGGGTGCTCAGCAAGTGACATTTGAGCCAAGGCCTGTCAAATGAGGAGCAAAGATTTGGGAGAAAAGTGTTCTCTAGACAGACTAGCCAGTGCAGCATCAGGAATGAGCTTTGGGTATTTGATGAACAAAAGGAAAACCAGTGTTCATGCCATGTGGAGAACAAGGGGAAAAGGTTAGGCATGGATCTAGATGGGCCCACAAAGGTTAGATTATGCCCTGGGGGTGCTAAGGAGGGGAGGACTTGTTTTTCAGAGGCTAGTGAATCTTCAGCTGGTCTTTCCCGTCTCCTGGCCTCAGTCTCTGAACTGGAGGTAGATCTGAGGTCCCCTGTTTCGATATTCTCAGCACCTCTCAAGACCACCCAACGATGCAGGTTGGGTGCATTTGCACCCAAACTGAACAGAGGCCCCAGAATGCGAAATCACTTTTCCAACGCCACAGAGCTAGCAGGTTCACCGTCCACATCTGAAAGCTGACAGTCTGACCCCGGAACCCATGCTCTTAATCTCCAGGGTATATTGCAGCCCCACCTCACCCCCACGCCATAACCGTAACAGGCACTGCAGTAGTTACGCGTCTTTGCGGCAAATTCTTCTATATATCCCACTTACAAGCGGTGGGATCCCGGGTTATTTACTAGCGTCCCCTGAGCTCATTTCCCCGTCTGTATAATGAGCACCCCAACATTCACCTCACCCAACACAACACTTGGCTGACCAGGAGCAATGAGGCATTGATTCCCAAACAACAGTGCCACTTTCTGTGAGGGATGTGGGGCGGGTGTTGAGAGGTTGGGGTTGTTTGGGGAAAAGGGACGCGGAGTCTTCCCATCCTCTTTTTGCGTTGTTTCCTCCATTCAATTTCAGGGCAACTCTCGGTCTCCCCCCGCAACAACCCCCCCGACGTTTTTTTCCCCCGGCTGGAAAAAGGTCGTGGTCCCTTTAAGGCCCGCCCCTCCCTCCCCCAAAACTTCCCAGTGTCTGCTCTCTTTTCGATCTCGGACGGCCGGCCAGGCTCGCCGCCGAACTGGTAGGGGCTGGGGGCGAGGGGTCTGGGAGGGGTGCGGGGGGATCCGAGGGAGGCGCCGCCCCGGGCCCGCGGCCGCGGTCCGCGTGCAACGGGTGGGGGAGGGGCGGAGACTGGGAGCTCCGGGGTGCAGATAACGCGGCCGCTCGGTCGCTCGCCGTGGACGCGCTCGAGGGGGCGAGCGGCCTGGAACGTGTCGCGCGGGGGACGGTTCCGCCGCGTCCCGTCGGCGCGCGCCGGCGCGAGGGGCGTCCGGGCCAGGCGCGGGGGCGGGGCGGGGAGGGGCCCCTTCTCTCCCCCTCCCCCCACCGCATTCCTCTGACGTCCGGACCTCGGCGACCCCGCCCTTCAGTCAGACCCGCCCCGCCTTAATTCCGTCGCTCGGATCACGTGTTGGAGGCGCTGCGCAGTCCCCTGTCTCCTTTTGGCCGGCCCCTTTGGATCTTTCCGGGGTGATTGAGAGCTGACTTAAATCCGGATCAGCCTACCCCAACTTTCACCTCCCCAAACTCACAGAGCTACCAAGCCGATCCCACTCTCTTAGTGCCACTGGACCCCATTTCAAACTTAGTTTCCACGAGGACATCCTATTTCGGGAAGCCCCTTTCGCCCGAGTGGAAAGGTTCCGTATCTTCTTTGGGGGAAGTCTCCCGCATTTCCCACGACTGTCCCCTCCTCCACTCTCCTTCCCTTCTCCCCTTCCCTCCCCACCCCCCCCCCGCCCCCAGCAGACAGTCCCCTAAAGTTAAAGAGTTCTTTGGGCGGGATCCTAGGGTCAACCCCAGGGTGTTCTCTGCGGGGGTAGCCCCAGAGGAAACGAGGCCCGTCGGACACTTAGAACACTGCAACTGCTCGCCTTTGCCGAGTAGCTAGCTAGCACTGTGCCAGGTGCTGTGCCTGGCGCTTGGTGGCGGGCGGGGTGGGGGGCAGCTTCACTAAGACCAACACACAGACCACACAAGCACTTTCATGCTAAGAAAAAGGGCATTCCCCAAACTGACAACCCAGAATAGTAAGGACTGTCGAGTGAAAACCGTTGGCCTGAGCGATCAGGGGTTATCATGAGGGAAACCGAGGGTCTGGGATGGTAGGGCCAAGAACGCTTTTCAGAGAGAACAGAGCACGAACAGGAGAAATTTTAGAATTTTAAGCCCTAATTCTGGCAGGAGGGATAGTGGATGAAAGTGTTCTAGTTCGAAGAAACTGCTCGGGCATAGATCGAGAGGTGCGAGAAAGATTCTTCCCTTTCTGCAAACTAAAAGGAGTTATTTGTGGTTGAATTTAGAAGTGAAGTGGTGAAAGGACGCGGGCGAATTGGACAGGGTCATAAGACAGACGGCAGCAGCAAATGGTTTAATACTGAGGGAAAGGGTCAGATTGAGTTTAAAAGATTTTTTCCCTCTGGCATTGTGAAGGTTAGCAATGGAGAGGAACAGGAGATAGGGATCGGTACAGAGCTGCACTGGCAATTGCCCTTCTAAGAGTCTACCCTGCCGGGGCTGCTCAAAGGACTCAACACACACTCTTGATGCTCCAGGCCTTCCCTCCTCTGGAGGGTCGCCCCGCCTCCGGAGGTACCTGAGCGCGATTCGCGCATGCGTCCTCTGCCCCGATTCTTTCGTAGACTGCGCCTAAGTGGGTTCCCCTTTTTCACCCAATCAGGGGTCACCAGTGGGCCTAACATCTAGTGAGAGGACTCTTTCCACTCTCAATTGACTAATCGGGCGTCTAGCAGAAGATCGGCGTCGGCAGTAGCCATTGGAGAGAGACCAAGGGAGGAGCCGTCTTGTCTCCTTGCGGAGAGGCGCGGGGAGGTAGTAACCGTGACTGGAAGACTGAGGGGGCTTTTAGTTTGATGGATTAGCAAGGAAAGCCAATGAAAGTGGGAAGGAGGCGGGGCTTTTGACAGTGAGGGTGTGCTGCTCCTATCAGGTACTCCTAAGGAGGCCATGCCGTGCCAGAAATCCAACCAATCAAGTTAGAGTTTATTTTAAGGCGGCGGGGCCAGAGAAATGACTGGCAGAAAGCTCTCGCCTATAAGGAGTGTCCCAGACAAACGAGGGCGGGCACTCCTGCAGAAGGGCGTGCGCTTTATCCAGTAGGCGCGCAAGGCGTATAGAGGCTTCCCCTCCCCCCGCGGCGGGACCAGTGGCTCCCCCTATCGGGTGGGGGCGGCGAGTGACGGGCGTGTCCCTCCCCCAATGAGAGGCGGGGGGAGGCGGGTTCTGCGCCGCCATGTCGCGGAGGCTGCTGCCCCGGGCGGAGAAGCGGCGTCGGCGGCTGGAGCAGAGGCAGCAGCCGGACGAGCAGAGGCGGCGGTCCGGAGCGATGGTGAAGATGGCGGCGGCGGGCGGCGGAGGCGGCGGTGGCCGTTACTACGGCGGCGGCAGTGAGGGCGGCCGGGCCCCCAAACGGCTCAAGACTGACAACGCCGGCGACCAGCATGGAGGCGGCGGCGGCGGTGGCGGAGGAGCCGGGGCGGCGGGCGGTGGCGGCGGGGTGAGGCCAGGGTCCTGGACGCCGGAGACGGCCGGGAAGGGAGGGAAATTTTCTCACTTTGAGGGCATTTATCTGTTGGGGGGCTGTGCGCACGCGCCCAGGCCCTCGCTCTGTAGAAGGGGTGGGGGAGGGGCAGGCGTTGGGCAAACGGCGGGGTTTGCGCGAGGACAAGCGCTTGCGCGTGCGCGCTCTACAGAGCGTGGTGGTGGTGGGGCGGGGGAAACTGCTCGCGCTGCAGGTGGCGCAGTGCGCAGGCGTCGCGGGCTGGCATGTGGGGGCCGGGCACGCGGCCGGGCCGTTTTTTTTTTAATCATTCTAGTCTCTGGCCCTATGCGCAGGCGCACTTCTGTCCAGGCCTCGTGGGCGGTTATGCGGGGGGGATGGGGGGGTGACCGCCTGAGCGGGAACTGGTGGGTGGTGGCCTTTTACGCGCCTGAGTTGGGTATTATGCCTGAACGCTGTTTAGTTTTTGTAGCGTTATGGTTTGTCTCAATACAGAAATTGATTTACTTGAGAGTATTTACCCAGACCAAAGTATGCCTCATTTTGTGGACATTGAAAACCGAAAGAAAAAAGTTGTGAAAGATCTTTTTTAGATATTTGGAAGTTGAACCATGCTTTGGAGTCATCACAAGTTTGCTTACAGTTTCTGGGGTTAACGGGGTGCGGTAGGTTTGATGAACGAAAATGTTCCCTGAGGGGTGGGCACTTTGGAAGGGATTCGGCCTCTTCAGTCTCCTACGTCGAAAAAACAACCAGTTGTTACTCCTGGCTTGAAGCCCATTTTTTCTTTCCTGGAAGTTCATGAGATCCTGTCCGGTTCAGCCATTTGCAGGGTTTTCCAGAGTTTAGTGGTGCTCTGTAACTGTGATTTACAGGCATTTAAACCCTGCGAGAAGCTTCATTGCATGTGTAATAAAGGTATCTTAATACTTAACACTCTCTTATGAGATAAATAATGGTATTACTGTTACACATTTGATCTAGCTAAACTAGGGAGCAGCTGGGATTAGAACTCATGAGGGCTGTGGAACTCCAAATCGCTGAGCCCGGTAACCTCAGGCGGGTGTGGTGCCTGTGGTTTGTGTGGTTCATTCCTGAAATAGAATCCAATTCTGCCCCTGTTACATGGGCTTCTGCCTAGTGGTTTTCAGAAGGGAGGCTGGGCCCAGAGCCCAGGAGAGGTGGAGAAGCTTAACTTTCCTCTTGATTCTCAGAGACTTTTGTCTGTGGGTGGAAAAATACTTCCCCTGGGAAGGGAAGTGTCCTGGTTTTTAGTGATACAGATTGACGTTTTGTTGGGGTTTTTTTTTGTTTTTTCTTTTAAACTTTCCTCACCCTCTTTTTCCTTAGTTTGGTCTAGGTAGTAGTTTTCAATACAGATTTTGGTGGGAGAGTAGACTAGAGGCAGTCAAGATTGGCCTGGATGCCACAGCGTCTGAAGTACCTGCTGGACTTGGGGATGAGTGATGGGGATCAGCAGTTTGGCTGTGTGGTGATGGCAGCTTTCTCCTATAGAGGGTGGGCAAAGAAGCTGGGGTGAATGGAAAGGGAATGTCCTGGTTCAGGCTGCAGCAGAAGAGTCCCCTTTCCAAGCCACTCTTCCCACATTTCTTTGGTCAGTTGAAAGAGATTGGTTCTGGGAAGAATGTATTAATAAGATGGGGCTTGAGATTTGCTTCATCTTCCATTTTGTCTTCAGAAGTTACAGTGAAGCCATTAGGCAAGTGGCCATCCACTTGGGCCTGCTCTGCCGACCCAGAATCCTTTTGGGATGATTGGTTGAATTGTTCCTTGTTGTCTGCCATGTATGTCCTTCCTGGGTGACACGCAAATGTTTTATCCATCTGAGTCCCCAGCAGTGCAGAAGCCAGTAGGCCACCATCTTGTACAGCAGAAAGTAAAGTCTTGGTTTTGCTTTCTTTCTCAGGAGAACTACGATGACCCGCATAAAACCCCTGCCTCCCCAGTTGTTCACATCAGGGGCCTGATTGACGGCGTGGTGGAAGCTGACCTTGTGGAGGCCTTGCAGGAGTTTGGACCTATCAGGTACTCAGTCAGAGACAGGGGTTGGGGTTGGGTATTCAGATGAGTTAACTCCTTGGTGTCCTATGTGTCACCGGGTTTCTGGTTGGAAGTAACCTGACTATTTCAATTTCAGTCCAGGTTCCTTTAGCTAGGTCCTGGGGCTCCACTACTCCTGGGGTTAGCCATTGTACTTTGGATAAGTTATAGCAAGTTCTGTGCCAAAGAATGCCAAAGCTGCAGACACCTTTTGCTTGTCATGCCATTTATGGCAAGGGGTGTAAGGTACAGGTCAGGATGCCATGACAGGGTGCAGAGCACTCAAGAGGCCAGGGAGCAACCAGCTGACAGAAGGTTGAGGCTGTCCTCTGACTCTCATCGTCTCCATCCCCTTAAGAAGATTGCAACCTGTGTTCTTTCTGCCAGCTATGTGGTGGTGATGCCTAAAAAGAGACAAGCATTGGTGGAGTTTGAAGATGTGTTGGGGGCTTGCAACGCCGTGAACTACGCAGCCGACAACCAGATCTACATTGCAGGCCACCCAGCTTTTGTCAATTACTCTACCAGCCAGAAAATCTCTCGTCCTGGGGACTCAGATGACTCCCGGAGCGTCAACAGTGTGCTTCTCTTTACCATCCTGAACCCCATCTATTCCATTACCACGGTGCGTGCCAGCAGTTATTTGTTGAGGTTCTCCTTCTATACAGTCTCTCTCCTGCAGTTTCTCCCTGTTCCCTCTCCCGCGAGTCAGACTGATTGGCTGGTGCCTTTTCATCTTGCCTATCTTTGGTTTTTACAGGATGTTCTTTATACTATCTGTAATCCTTGTGGTCCTGTCCAGAGAATTGTGATTTTCCGGAAGAATGGCGTCCAGGCCATGGTGGAATATCCTTTGCTGGGAAATGGGTGCTGCTTGAGATTCGAGCTCACAGGAGTCCGTGTTTTCAAGCAGCGTGTGTCTCAATACCTGCCTTGTGCCAGATGCCTTCATAGAGCCCATGGTCTCCTGGGAGGGTTAGTTAATAAACAACCACATGTAAACAGATGACCCTTGAACAGCACAGGCTTGAACTCTGTGGATCCTCTTAAGGTGTATTTCATTTACTAAGTGCATACTCCAGTAGTAGGTTATCTGTAGTTGGTTAAATATGTTGGTTTTCAACTGCACAGAGATAGATGTCTCTAAAACACACCCACATTTAAGGGTTAATTGTGTAGTGTGAAAGTGCAGTACAGAGTTTAAAGTGTGAAGGGAAAGAAGAACATGCTATGAGCTATAAGGGGAAGGAATTTACAGAACTTCTGGGAAGGTCTGAGGAAGTGACATCCTGTTTTCATGTGGAGGTGGGAACTGACATGTGCACCACCGAGGACACCACCTCTGCAGAGGTCTGCAGGTGGGCAGGCGCTTAGTGTTGGAGAAAGCAGACAACCTGACAACTGAGGAGTAGCTAACAGGGTTCCTTACGACATCGGAAGTTAGGGTGGCCAGGCAGTGGGGTAAAGCCTGGATCAGGGTGCAGAGGGAGCTCACTGATGGGTCTTTCAGGACAGGAACATAATCTCATTGACATTTCAGATGTTGAGGCTTAGTCAAGACATGTAGCATGAGAGGGGAGGTTTGGGCTGAGAAAGAAGGTGGTTTGACCTTTGATGGTGACAGAGAAGGTTGATGCTAATATCTGAGTGGCCGCTGGCAGGGTGGGATGAAGTATAAGTCATAGAAGAACTCTAGCCAGTGTCTGGGCATCAGTGCAGCACTCTACCTGTCTCTGTAGGAGTGACTCTGGGCAGTGAGCTCACCCCAGAGCCCACTTGGAGCTGTCTTGCTCTCATTCCTCTTTGGCCCAACTTGAGCTCTTTCTGAAAAGCTCTTGGGATGGGACTTTGCCTTAACTTGATTCACGTTTGACTCTGTGCAGAGTGCCCAGCGAGCTAAGGCCTCCCTCAATGGGGCTGACATCTACTCAGGCTGTTGCACTCTGAAGATAGAGTATGCAAAGGTAGGTCTGGGGAACGGCTGCCCTGGCCCGCTCTCAGGGGAGCCTAGGGCCCGGCTGACCCCAGGCTTTGTTTTATCCCTGCAGCCTACGCGCTTAAACGTGTTCAAGAATGATCAGGATACCTGGGACTACACAAACCCCAATCTCAGTGGACAAGGTAATCCTGATGGCCGCTTTATTCTAAATACACCCGCCCTGCCTTCACTTGACTAGCGCACTTCATAGACCTGGGCTCAGGGTTATGTAATGCCATTGGGCTCCCTGTGGACATGGGAGGGCCTTAAGGATCAGCTCTTGGAGGATGCACTCCTGTGGAAGAGGGTGAATAAGGGGCCTCTAGGTCCTAGCTGCTGCTTGCGGCCCTTTGATGCAACTGAGGGTGCAGGGTCAAGGCAGAGGCCTGGGTGGGGTGGGGAACAGAGCACAGGCCCTGGCAATGGCTTACAGACCAGTAGCAGCTCCCAGAGGGTTCTGCTGCCTGCCTTCTTGGAGCGTGCTTAGGGTCACTGACTCCGTTCTCACTGGGCCAGGAACGGCCCCCTTGCTGTCCACGATTGACAGGGTCTGCCTGTGGGGAGAGAGATGGGGAAGGTGATGAGGGCTCCCAGGCCTTTGCAGCAGAGCCTTTGAGCAAGTTGACCTTGTGGAGTTCAGACGCCCAGGATTGGAGAGGGGCAGACATGCCTTGCCTCACTTGTAGAGGGGACGCAACATCTCTGCAGGGGGCCCAAATGGACAACCCTCTTCCTAGAATCTCTCAAGAATGGTTTGCCTTGGATAGGAGGGAGAGGTGGAGCATTGCCTTTGAAAAACAGCAGCACCCCCTCAGCCAAACCACCCGTCTGTTTCTGTTTTGTTCTGATTGTTTGGACTAGACCATGGGCTGAGGGAGGTGGCTGGTCGCTGACATCTCACCGGCCCTGGGAAGCCAGAGGCTCCTGTTCCTAGGCAGGCCGAAGCCGTGGGCCGGGTGGGCTAGACTACTTCCCCAGGACCCTCACAATGGGCGCTGTGGGGCAGGCTGCCCCTCCAGAGATCAGAGGCAAATTGGTGACCAAGTGAATGTACCAGAGCGGGCAATGGCATTACATGACTGCTAACAGAAACACGGCAACCAACCATTTCTTCTCCAAGGAACATAAATAGAAGATGTGCAGACCGGCAGGGGCTAGTGGCAGGGGCTGGCTGTGCATTGGTTTTGATGCCTCTCAGCTTTGGCCGCCCCCAGGCCCGGGGTCAAAAAAAAAAAAACCGAGAGCTGATGAGGTGACCTGGAGTGAGGGCGGTGCTTCGCCACCCCCTCGGGAACCAGACTTCAGCGGCTCTGCCTCTGCACATTGCTCACCAACACACAGGGTAGAAACCACTAGCTCTTCCTGGAGAGAACAGAACACGCAGCCTCCACCACGTCCCCAGAAACAGCCGCAGACTTGAGCTCACTACATCAAGAACACCACCACACCGCGCTCCAAGGAACAGCTACAAGCACAGAGACAGAGGCAGACAGAGACAAAGAAAGAGACGCAACATGGCAGCAGACACTGCTTTTTTACTAAACATTAAAAAAAAAAAGTCAAAATCCAAGCAAACTTGAACCCGAAAATGTACACAGAAGTAGGAAACACAGAGAACAGAGCTCTCCCAGCCAGCCAGCGGCGCTCTTTTCGGAGAACGATTCATAGACTGAAGTAGATTCCATGGGCCTCCAAGACAATAGGATCCTCTCCATTCCTCGCCATGTGGGTTTGGTTTTTTTTTGTTTGTTTGTTTTTTAAGTCCTTTGGTTTGGGGAGGGCCTTCTTTTTTTTTTCTTTTGTGTTTTGATATTTTTTTTTTTCTGCAGTCATCGGCTGCCAACATAATCTGCACCAGCTGGAGATCAGAAACCAAAAAAAAAAAAACCACAACAACAGCAAAAAAAAAAAAATCAAAAAGCCAAAACAGACCTAAAACCAAACAGCTCAGAGGTACACAGTTACCTGCTGGCGGGTAACCAGGCGTGCTCCCAAGGCCAACAGTGCGGGCATAGTGGGGCCACTGGCACACCTTACAACCAGGAGACACGCACACGGAGCGCTACACAGCCAGAAGCACCGCACTGCAGCACACAATGTGAGGAGGTGACAACACGGAGGGACACTACCCACTGCATACACCTTTATTTTCCACTTTTCTGGTATCTTCTGAGGACAGAACATCTGTGAGCCATTTTTTGACTTAATCGAGACATTGACTTTTAAAACAATTCTTTTAAAAAAAAAATTGTAGCGGATGTGTACCGTAACTTGTATTTATGACTGTAAAACCATGTGATGCAGGGTCGCAGTGTATGTTTGGTGGGACGCCATCTTTCAGAACTGTGCTAACTCACTGTTGAAGCGTCCAATGGTAAGAGAAAATACAGATTTGTTTTTTGTGACAAATGGACATTGTACTCTGTACTTCTGCTGTAAGTAGCCTTTTTCCATCTTTGTAATGACTGTTGGAAAACAAAACCCAGGCCGGGTGGCAGGAAAGGGCAGTGGCCCCAAGCCCTGGGTTTTTGGAGTCAGCCAGGCCTGGGTTCAAATCCCAGCTCAGCCACTAACTTGCTTTGTGACCTTGGGCCAAAGTGTCTTAACTGCTCAGTTAAAAATTAAGTGCTTATGATCCTTATCTGTGAAATGGGGCAAATATATTAGTACCTACCTCATAGGGTTGTTGTGAGGAATTTAAGAAACAATGATGTCTGTCTGTAAAGTGCTTAGCACCGTGTCTGCCATTTCAAGTGCTAAGTTAAGGTAGTGATTATTAACTGTAGCTGGGGGTGGGGCAGGGTGGATCTGCGCCATTGTCTTGAGAATGTTGATGCCTTGTACACGATGCTCATTTGAACTGGTTCTGATGATGCCCTTTTTGTCCTTGCCTACAGTCCCTCTCCTTGGGGTGAACATGATCGGGGGGTGGTGGCGCGCGGTGACTGGGACCAGAATTGAGAAAATCATCTCTAGAGAGTGGGCCCTAGCGCTCCTAGAACCTTGGGGTTTCAAGGGCCTGATTTTACCTTTCTGCTCTTCCCTGAGTTATTTTGTAGCACTTAACTCCTTTCCCTTCCTTGGGAGTTACTTTAGAAAGCTGTTCCTGGCCCCCAATCAGCTTCCATAGTGGCTGCAAGTTCCCTAGAGGGCCCAAGAGCTGACCTTCCTGTCAGAGCTCTGGGAAGTGAGAGGTCCAGAATCTGGCTTCATCCTTCACTGAGAAAGGAAAGCAACCTGCTTGCAGTGGGCAGGGGTGGGGGAGGGACGGTGGGCTCCAGCCTTGAGACCTGGGCTTCATGCCAACCCTGGGTTCGGCCCTGGGAAGGACGCCCCAGTAACCCTATTGAGGAAGGAAAGGCCGGTGCCCGGGCCCTCAGGAGCCAAGGGACACAGACTATCTATCCCCTGCAGTCAGGAGAGAGGGAGATGCCCATTTCCGAGTCAGCCTCTAACTGTTTTCTCTGTCTACAGGTGACCCTGGCAGCAACCCTAACAAACGCCAGAGGCAGCCCCCTCTACTGGGAGATCACCCCGCAGAATATGGTGAGGGCAGGGGGTTCCCCTCCGTGGACTCCCGTGGCTCATGTGCCCCTGCCCGCCGCCCGACACGCAAATTCTCACCCGTCCTCCCTCTCTTTCCTTCCCACCCCCCAGGAGGGCCCCACGGTGGGTACCACAGCCATTACCATGATGAGGGCTACGGGCCCCCCCCACCTCACTACGAAGGGAGAAGGATGGGCCCACCAGTGGGGGGTCACCGCCGGGGCCCAAGTCGCTACGGCCCCCAGTATGGGCACCCCCCACCCCCTCCCCCACCACCCGAGTATGGCCCCCACGCCGACAGCCCTGTGCTCATGGTCTATGGCTTGGATCAATCTAAGATGAACTGTGACCGGGTCTTCAATGTCTTCTGCTTGTATGGCAATGTGGAGAAGGTGAGCTTCTGCTAGGTCCACTGCTTTCCTAATAGAGCTAACAGGCCCAGGGGAGGCCCTGATCTTCTGACCCCTCAGTGAGCAAAAGAGCGGGCAGGAGCCTCTTTAGAAGCAAGCAGGTCCAGGGAGGGTAATAAGGCTTTTCTCTGGAATGCTTCAGGGGATAACAGCAACACTGAGCCCTCTGCCTTACCAGGGGTAACAGTTGACTGGGGCTGCCTGGTGACTGCTGACCTGAGACCAGGTTGGTCCTGATGTCAAACCCATCTGAGTCCTGAAAGCCTTTTACTTTGCACCCACTGACCTAGCTTGTTGATAATAGCAGCTAGCATGTGTCAGGTGTTCTTGCTGTATCAGGACGCTGTTAAAGGTGCTGTAAGTTGCTTAAATTCATTATAAGAATCCTTAATGAGACAAGCCAGGGGCATTGAAAGCATGGGGGGGAGCAAATAACTTGTCCAGTTTCACATGCCTTTATATGGAAGCAAGGCTCCTAGCTGACTCTGCTGTTCTCAGTGTTTGTGTAACAACTCAGTATTTGTACATACTCTGTGCTGGTGGGAGTAGGTGCTTTCCCCCCCCCTGTGGCCGCTTTTCTGTTGTGCTTCATTAAATGAGCCATCCGTGGGTTGGGTCCTGCCATTTGGGAAACACTGCCAAGTGAGTCTCTGCTGCCCGACTTGGGCTCAGCACTTGCTGTGAGCCAGGCCAGCCCCTCTGTCTTAACAAGTGAGGAGATAGAAGCATAGATCCAGAGCAGGGTCAGGAGAAGGGTCTCTGGCACCTGGCCAGTGGTGCTGACTGTGACTGCTCTTCTCAAGGTGAAATTCATGAAAAGCAAGCCGGGGGCTGCCATGGTGGAGATGGCGGATGGCTATGCTGTGGACCGGGCCATCACTCACCTCAACAACAACTTCATGTTTGGGCAGAAGCTGAACGTCTGGTAGGTGCCCAGTCTCCGTGGACTTGCGCAGTGTGGAGAGGGACTGAGGAGACGGGCAGAGCGGTGGAGCCCACTCTGGACAGGGCTTAGGCGCGCAGAGCAGCCAAGTGCTTAGCCGGGTTGGCACTGGATGTGTCGGCCTCTCTTCGCTGTGGAGCAGGGCCCTGCAAGGCACACAGTGCTGTCAGATGGGAAAGCCACAGTAGAAGGAGGGGGACAGCTTGAGGTCTGACAGGGGGCTCCCCTTCCCTCCGACAGTGTCTCCAAGCAACCAGCCATCATGCCTGGTCAGTCATATGGGCTAGAAGACGGGTCCTGCAGTTACAAAGACTTCAGTGAATCAAGGAACAATCGGTTCTCCACTCCAGAGCAGGCAGCCAAGAACCGCATCCAGCACCCTAGCAATGTGCTGCACTTCTTCAATGCCCCTCTGGAGGTGACTGAAGAGAACTTCTTTGAGGTGGGTGCTGTGGAGTTGGTCCCTCACCACAGCCATCTGAGGAGGTCGTCCGTTTTCTTTTTTTTTTACTATTGAGCTGCCACTCTCCTGGGCTCTGGGTTGGGTGCTGGGAATATGGCAGGGACCAAGAAAGGCTCAGAATGGCACAAAACATCCAGCAGCAGTGGAGTTTGCTATGCTCTTCGCATCTTTGGCAAGCTAGAGTGGCTGCTCATTTGCTGTGAAAGATTCATTCTTGTCTAGATGGTAGGTTGGTGATTGGAGCCCAATCTTGGCCCCCCTCTGGGGCCTAGATGACATTAGAAGGGAGCGTCCCATTACAATGCCCTCAGAGGGAACCAGGCAGCTTCAGGGAAGGGTGGGAGTCTGACTGCTGAGTTGGACTTTAGGCCTTATTCTGGCCTGCGGTGTTGCTATTCAGTTCAGCAAACATTTACCCAGTACCTGCAACACACCCAAATTACAGCTGAAGATGGGAATTTAAAAGCCCTTTTCCAGTGTTTGGCAACATAATTGAGTGGTTTACTTCAGTCTTTCGGGAGGGGGATCATAGGGACACCTTAAGAGTGTGTGAGAAAAGCTAACTCCTTGTCCAGAAGAATTCAGGTATTTGGTTGTGTGCTTGCATTCCACCATGTGGCACTTCTTGTGTTCCTGAGTCTGTTTTCTCTCTCTGTTGCAGATCTGCGATGAGTTGGGAGTGAAGCGGCCATCTTCTGTGAAAGTATTCTCAGGCAAAAGTGAGTTTACTGCCTCGCCTACCTCCACCGTTCCCTGGTGGTACATAGGCAGCTCCCTGGCTTCTGCTTAGGTCAGCCTAAAACCTTCGTTTTCCCATCAGGTGAACGCAGCTCCTCTGGACTGCTGGAGTGGGAATCCAAGAGTGATGCCCTGGAGACTCTGGGCTTCCTGAACCATTACCAGATGAAAAACCCAAGTGAGTATCTGTGTGTCCTGCAGTCATCCCCCTTGTGGCCTAGTGGGTTGGCTGGCTTCCGGCCAGAGCCGTCCTTCCTGCTGTCAAGACAGGGCCCCAGAGATGTCACTGACACAGGCAGGTGGGACCTGGTCGCCAGGAGAGCAGCCTGCTCTTCCACATGGGAGGGCCAGCCTAGCTGCTTGCTGCCACCCACTCTGCCAGCTTGGGAGTTGCCTAGGCTTGTCCTCCAGGGAGCTGGCATTCTGTGTGCGTCAGAGGCTGGCTCACATAATACCCAGGGGAAAGGGAGCTGTACTAGCCAGCAGGTAAAATCCCCCTACCCAGTTCCTGGGCAGGCCTGTCCTTGTGCGCCAGCTAAAGAGCTGGGGATGGGATCCTTCTTGCAGTTACAGAAGAGAAGGAGGAATGCCTTGTGTATTTGGCTTGTTTTTGAATCTCAAAACTGGCAAGGATGAGTTAGACCCCTGAATTGCAGAAAAAGATGTGTGCAAAACCAGGGAAACACGGGGGGGCAGAGCCTCGGGAAAGGGGCCCAGTCACATCTCTCTCCTCTCTTACAGATGGGCCATACCCGTACACTCTGAAGTTGTGTTTCTCCACTGCTCAGCACGCCTCCTAATTAGGTGCCTAAGAAGAGTCCCATCTGAGCAGGAAAACATTTCTTTCTTTTATGCTGGTTTTTTTTTTTTCTGCAAATGTTCCTGTATTCCTTTTTTTAAATGCTAGTTTAGTAGAGGCTTTAACCATAATGGAATGGCTGGAAGTCTAAAGGGGGAGGGGAAGGGGAACTGATATCTCCCAAGATTAACCTTCACTTTTTAAAAATTACTGTACATGTGATTTTTTTTTTTTTTCCTGTTCATACATTTGTGCTGCCCATGTACTCTTGGCACAATTCAATAAAATTGTTTGGAAAATAAAGGTCACTTTCTGGGATTCTGGGGTGTGTCTGTTTCCCTCCCACTCAGTTTTCTGAAGGTGGGCAGAGTGGCTAGGAACAGCTGCAGCCTCTCCAGAGGGACGAACCCAGCTCTGAGGAGCAGTGTGGGCCAGAGCTGTGGGTTGGGGGTGATGCTGGGAATTCTAAGTCTTTTGAGGAAAATCTGGGAGAGCTGGCGGCATCCCTCGTGGACCCTACCTACCCAAGCCAGCTGAATATAGGTGAAAGAAGAAAGCCTAAATCTTACAAAGTAAATACCTGCCTTTCTGTAAGGTTGGAAAATAAAACCTCAGATAAAAATGAAAGTCTTCCCATTCCCTTTAAAACAGTTCATGATTTTTTTTTTTTTGTCTACAAGGGAAGTTTTCCAATTTGTGTGTCTTTTAACAAAATGCATTGTACTGTGTACAGTGATCTCATATCACATGCAGAGCAACCTCCTTATCTGTACTTCTAATGTGTGGATGAGTCATAGTTTGTCCTGAAGGTAATTTCCAATGATTTGGTACTGCAGACAGTACTGTGATGCATATCTTTACACAAACTTCTTAGCCAACTTCCCTGATAACTGATCTAGAAGCAAATTCCTAGCAGTGGAATTGCTGGATTAAAGGGTATGTTCAATTACTATTTGATATTCCCTGATAGTGGTGAGCAGGAACAAAGTCCAGTGCCTTGAGTATGTGTATCCCCCACTTGTATGTGTTTGTATTTCCACTTTGGGGATTTCCTGTAGAGTTTTTAAACTATCGAAGTCAAGTGACATCAGATAAACTGCTTCATCAGGGTTGAAACTTCAGACAGAACCTTTAAACAAGGAGACACAACAGTCACTTTGCAGCCGTAACTTACAAAATCTAGGTTTTAAGCTAATTGGGTAAAAAGTAAATTTACCCACTCTGACTCCCAGCACTCAGCTTTCATCCCATGTTAACAGTTATATTTCCTAGGTAGCCTGTGCATAAGTTTACTCAAACTCATGTCCATTGAGTCAGTGATGCCATCCAATCATCTCATCCTGTCAACCCCCTTCTGCCTTGAATCATTTCACAACCATCTTTTTATAACAACCTAACTAAATGTACTACCTCTTTAAATTTATCTCAAATCTTGGTAGCTGCTTAGTGGTTCCAGATAACCAAACAGTTCTCTGCCTTCCAAAAGAGCTTTACCATCTGACGTATGAAGAAGACAAAGTAGGACTTGCCTAGCAAGTCAAGGGTGCAGCCAAAAGGGGAGAAAAAAAAGCAAGACTCGTTTCAATCCCATGTGTCAGGGACACCTGTTCACCTCCTACAAGAGCATACTTAAGCATTTTAATAGCACTTAAAACAACAGGCTCTAGCGTGCTGACTCGGAAATAGTGGCTAGGGGCTTGGTTGCTCCATGGCATGTGGAATCGAACCCGACCACGGATCCAACCTGTCCCTTGCATAGCAGGGCGGATTCTTTACCACTGGACCACCAGGGAAGCCTCAGTTGTTTTTTTTTTTTTTAAACACTCTAGGGCTTACTAGCTTTTTCCAAAGTCATTTTATTTTTGAAAGAAACTTTGACATGTACTTACTGTATATATAAATCCCCTCTTTAGCACTCCTGAAGGCCGGAGACCTTAAAGTAGTGACTTCTCCCCAGCCGGTTTCCTCTGCATACAAATGTAAAATAGTACGACCCAGAGCTAATGGAGGCAGAGGTAACAGAAAGATCCCCACCCCCAACCCGACAAGCCTACTAGGGGCCTTGGTTTAGGGAGATACAGACTTGAAGATGGGCTTCTCTGGTGGCTCAGTCGGTGAAGAATCCTCCGGCAATGCAGGAGAACCGGGTTCTTTGGGTGGTGTGTGGCAATTCAGATTACACAGAGTTTAACGCTGGCCCGTCTGTATTCCCATTCCCTTATGTGAATAATCTCGGTGGAAACTATTTTTTCCTTTTTAGTTAATATGGTACAAATGCATGATTGCAAACTTGGAGGTCGAAAGTTATTACGCCATTATGCCCGTGGACATTCAGTTGTCTCCAGGTTCTCCTTTATGAAACAGCTGTGGTGAACTTTGTACAGAATATTCAAAAGCAGTGTGAACTATTTTCTTACTCCAGGTTCCTACTGGGTTAAAGGTTTCTGCCGAATCACTCTAACGGCCGGCGAATTTAGAAAACTGTTTCCGGTTGCCCTTGATAAAGATGGCGGGAAGGGGGACCATCTCCGCGGTCAGCCTGCGGCTTCGATGCCCTCACCAAACATGGCGGCCTTTTGTGCCCGCCCCCATAGCTTACTCACGTCGCCTTACACCCACCAGTCAGTAGCGATGGCGGCAGCGTCTGCGGTCTTTCGGCGATTTGGCGACTTGCTTACCCGGCGTGAGTTACCTCTTGATCTCTGGGCTTCCGTTGAGCTGTCGTGCTGTCATCGCGACAATCGGACGGGGAGGCCTGTCCAGGGTCACGCAGGTTTCGAACCCCTTATTAAACTTTCGGGTCTATGTGCCCCCATCCAAAGGGCTTCTGTCTTACAGTTGGCTCGCTGACAGCTCAATGTACTCAGTCTGGGGTGAGTACCACGATCACAGGGCTTTCTGGGTGGCGCTAGTGGTAAAGAATCTGCCTGCCAATCCAGGAGATTAAGAGACACGGGTTTGATTCCCGGGCCGGGAAGATCCCCTGAAGAAGGGCTGGGCAACCCCCTCCAGTATTCCTGCCTGGAGAATCCCATGGACAGAGGAGCCTAACGGGCTATGGCCCAGAGGGTTGCAAAGAGTCAGACACGACTGAAGCAACTTAGCATGCACCACAATCATGGGTCTGAAGTGATCCTCAGGCTGAGGCCACTGATAAGTGCACCTGAATCTTAAAGTCTGGTGGTGGTGGTGCTTTAGTCACTCCGTGGCGTCTGACTCTTGTGACACCATGGACTGTAGGCCTCCAGGCTCCTCTGTCCATGGGATTTCCCAGGCAAGAATACAGGAGTGGGTTGCCATTTTCTTTTCCAGGGGATCTTCCTAATCAGGGCAGTCGAACCCGGTCCTCCTGCATTGCAGGCAGATTCTTTACTGATTGAGCCACCAGGGAAGCCCATCTTAAAGTCTGCATCCCCTAAACTGAGGCCTCTCATAGGCTTGTGTCCCCCAACCTAGTGTCAGCTGAGATGTGTACCCTCTACTCTTGAAGGTGCTGTGCCCCCTATTCGGGGTCATCAAAGGCTCTTCCTACCTCTGTCTCCCCAGGATTGACCCCCTCTACCAACCTGGGTCTCAACCTTCGCCCAATGAGTGGCTTTGCACAAGAGGAAGCCTCCAAAGCAGCCCCAGAGGAAGCTCCAGGCCACAGCTATGAGTCCCTTCGGGTGACAGCTGCCCAGAAACACATTCTGCATGTGCAACTAAACCGGCCTGAGAAGAGAAATGCCATGAACAAGGCCTTCTGGAGGTCTGGCCTGCACGAGGAGGCAGGGGCTGAGGGACTGGGCAAGGGAGGGCCTGAGGGCAGGGGATTCCCACCCAGACAGAGCCCTCCCTCCTCTCCCCCTCCGCAGAGAGATGGTGGTATGCTTCAACAAGATTGCAGAAGATGCTGACTGTCGTGTGGTGGTGATCTCTGGTGCAGGAAACATGTTCACTTCAGGTACCAGGTGCTCTCCATACCCACCCCTGCCAGTCTCCCCTGCTCATGGGAATAGAATAATGCTTCATAATTAGGGTTTTAAGCAGCTTCTAAATTCTACTTTATATGCATGCTAAGTCTCCTCAGTTGTCCGACTCTTTGCAACCCCATAGACTGTAGCCCACCAGGCTCCTCTGTCCATAGGGATTCTCCAGGAAAGAATACTGGAGTGGGTGGCTGTGCCCTTCTCCAGGGGATCTTCCTGACCCAGGGATCGAACCCATGTCTCATATGTCTCCTGCATTGGCAGGCGGGTTCTTTACCACTAGCTCCACCTTTTACTCAGGGAAGTTCTACTTAAATCATTTTCAGTTGTAGAAGTGAGTCCAACAAAAGACAGGATCACGGGCTCTAAAGTCTGGGTTTTCTCGCTGAATCTATGGCCTTGACCTCTTAACCTCTCAGTCTTTTTTTGTGTGTCAATAAAATGTGTTGTGATAATTACATGCTTTCTGGGAATTCCCTACCAGTCCAGTGGTTAGGATTTGGTGCTTTCACTGCAGGGGCCCAGGTTCAGTCCCTGGTTGGGGAATTAAGATCCTTCCAGCTGCACATGAAGTGGCCAAAACCTTTTTTTTAAAAAATACATGCTTTTGTGCAATTAATTTTGAACCTACATGAACTGATTTTCTGTTAATGTCTATTGGATCTTTTGCTTGTCCCACAAGTCTATTCTTCAGGTTGGATAATTTCCATTGATCAGGTTCATTGTCTCATTTGTCATCTCTCTTCTTCTGTTAAACCCATCTAGTGATTTTTAAAAAAATTTTTCAAGTGTAAAAAAACCAAGAGTTGCAGAGCACAGTAACATGAGATATGCCTGTATTATAGTTTCCGGTTCTCAAATTTCCATTTTTTTTTATAGTTTGCATTTTTCTGCTGAAGTTTCATATCTTTTTATTCATCACAGTCATATTTTTCTTTGCATCACTGAGCATGGGTCCAATGGCTGTTTTTAAAATCTTGTCTCCTGATCCCAACATCAGGGCCGCCTTAGGGTCAATTTCTGTTTATTACCTTTTCTCCTGAAAAAATGAGTCTCATTTTCCTGTTTCTTTGTTTTCGGAATAAGGTTGGGTTGCATGTATCCTGGAAGTTGGACTATGGGAGAAAATAATGTGGAAATTCTAGATCCTATTATGTAATTCCAGAGTGCTGAATTTCCTGTTTTAGCAGCTAAGTTGATGTCAGTTTTTAAATCTCTTTGCTGGGCTGTAGGTCTGGTTCATGGGTCTCTTGTTATAGAGACTTAGGCAGAGCTCATACACAGAATCTTGGGCTCCCTTCTCTGGCTGTCTACTTTCTGGAATTTTCCCCCCTCATTTTCCATCAATTGAGGTCCCCCTGGGCTCTTGTCCTATGGTTCTTCAGGCACAACTTCACCCTGTACTCAAGTTAAATTAAAAAAAAAACAGGTCAGTCACTTGGCTGGTTCCTTCTTCTAGAATCTGCTTGGTGCCTTCAGGTAATTGGACCTTGTTCACCTAGGGCACATAGCTGGCATCTGTGGGAGGCTCCATGCCTGAAGTGAAGGGTCACATACACTGATTTCTGCACAGGGCCCAGCCTAGTGCTGGGAACCCAGTGGTGACTGAGATGGCCCCAGGCCCTGCCCCTAATTCAGTGGGGAAGACTGGACATTAAACAAAGTATTTCTAAAAACAAAAAACAAAACAAAACAAAAAAATAATGTATTTCTTTGTGTTTCCTCTCTTTCCTTCTGTTTCCTCTGTTCTTTCTGTTCCTCTGTAACATCTTCGCGTGTCTTTTGTTTTCTTTTTCTGTTCTCCTTCATTTCTTTGTTCATCCATTCAGCATTCAGCGACCCCTTCCTGGGTGACACTGACCTTGAAATAGGAAGCAGCCTGTTTTCTGACCCCTCATCCTGATGAAGTGCAGGATGAGGGTTCATCTCTAGCTGTGCCAGGCCTGGGGTCCTCATCTTTCAGCTTTCCGTTGATTGTGCCCATTTCGTCCCATTTTCAACCTGAAGGCCAGAAAGAAGACATGCAGTTTAATTAGCAGTTTTAAAGATTGAATGAAACTACTAATTAAAAAAAAAAAAACAGTCCAGACTTATTTTCATTTGTGGAGTGTCTCCAAGCACTTTACACATGTTAATTAATTCTCACCACAGCCCTGTGAAACAAGCTCAGTTATCATCCCCATTTGATAGATGAGGAAACTGAGACCCACAGAGAGGAAGTGTGCCTAGTCTTCACTGTTGGGATTTTTGAACATGGGCTGCCTGGCTGCAGAATCCTTGCCCTTCACCACTAAGTGACTATGGCCCAGGTGTGTGGCAAGCTGATTCAGAGTAATCCTGGCCCAGTAGCCAGCCAACTCCCACCCCTGCCACCTCCACACACCATCACCTCTCTGTGAGCTTCTGATCTGAAGACAAGGGAGATGCTATGAGCACCCATGGGCGCAGTGATAAAGAATCCACCTGCCAGGCAAGAGACAGGTTCGATCCCTGTGTCGGGAAGATCCCCTGGAGAAGGACACAGCAACCCACTCCAGTGTTCTTGCCTGAGAAATCCCATAGACAGAGGAGCGTGGCAGGCTACAGTCCATGGGGTTGCAGAGTCGGACACAGTTTAGCAACTCATCACCCCCCTCATCAGTGCATCGAGGATTAAACGAGTTAACAGGCACCAAATGTTAATTCATGTGAAACTTTTATTGATGTAGCTGTTATTCTTGATGATGATGAATAACTTAATTGTGATGGTGAATGAGATCTGAAACATTTAGAGGTTCCCAGGGAACGAGATGGGGGACTCTTCAAGAATGAGTTCTGGCTCTGGAGGGGAAAGGCCTTGTACCATGATCTGGGGCCCTTTATTCCAAGGGGTTGCAGACAGCCACCCATGTCTGCAGATCCAGGTAGGGCAGATAAACCAGCAAAGCCAGTGGGAGGAGGTGTTGCAAGTCGCCGAGCTGAGCTTGTTCTGGGAGTAAGCGTGGCTCCCACTGAGTCATACAAGCTTCTCAGACCTGGTGTGGAAGCCAGCAGATGCCTGCAGACTGATGCAGGCGGTTCTGGCCTTGGCAGAGATGGAGTGTATAATAATAGGAACTATTGTGATGCCATTACATGCCAGGCACTGCTCAAAGTGCCATGAGCTCTGCGTCTTGAATCCTTGCAGCCCCGTGAACTCTTGGGAGGATTTTAGCCTCAATTTTCAGAGCAGAAACCCAAGACCCAGAGGATGGAGTGACCTGGTTGAGGTCACACAGAGGAGTTTTTGTGTTTTTTTTTTAAATAATTTTATTGTATTTATTTATTTTTGGCTGTTCTGGGTCTTCACTGCTGCAAAGGCTTTTCTCTTGTTGTGCCGAGCAGGGGCCACTCTCTAGCTGTTGTATGAGGGCCTGTCATCGTGATGGCTTCTCTTGTTGCGGAGCCCGGGCTCTGGGGCGCGAGGGCTTCAGTAATTTCGGCTCCTGAGTTCTAGAGTGCAGGTTCAGTAGTTGGGGGTGCCCGGGCTTAGTCACTCCACAGCATGTGGGGTTTTCCTGGCCCAGGGATTGAACCTGTGTCACCTGCAGACGGATTCTTTACCACTGAGCCACCAGGGAAGCCCTACTTTATTTTTACTTGAAGGATAACTGGAGTTATATCCTACTCATATTTAACTTGCACAAACTCAGCTCTACCTACCCTGAGTCAACACTGCTCTGTTCTCGCTCATTTAAACAAGCCACAGAGGCCACAGAGCCATAGAGGGTCAGGGGTGTGGCCAAATGTGGGACTGATTTTTCCAGCTTTGCCAAATTGCGCTGTTCAAACAAGCGAAAGGATGAGAATGATTAACCTCAGGAAGAAGACAATTCTGCTCAGAACCATCCTGTAGCTCCCCCTCACTCAGAGTCAGAGCCAAGTCCTCCTTTTGGCCCACAGGGCCCGGCAGAGTCTGCCTCTGTCACCTCTCTGACCTTGGCGCCTCCTGCTCTCCCTCTTGCTCAATCTGCTCCGCTTCGCTGGCCTCCTCCATGGCCCTCACGCAGACACCAGGGGCGTTCCTACCATAGGGCCTCTGCACCGGCTGTCCCTAACATTTAGAACTCTCTTATCCCAGATATCTGTACAGTACCCTCCCTCTGGTCCTTCAGATCTTTACTCATATGCCACCGTTTCAGTGAGAGGGTCTCTGACCACCCCAGTTAATACTCCAACAACCTTCACTGCACACGGTGTGTGCATGTGCACATGCGCATGTGCGCGCGCGCACACACACTCACACTCCATTCCATTTCCTTCCTTTAATTTTTTCAGTACTTTTCTCCACTGGACAAAATGAATTTTCTTATTTGTTTGTTTCCCCCATAGAAGAGCAACCCCCTGGGAGCAGAGGTTGTTGTCTGTGTTCTTCACTTATTGAGCACCTGCTGTGTACTAAGCTTGTGTTAGGCACGGGGATAGAGTGGTAGGGAAAAAGCCAAACTCCTTGCTGCGTACGCAAGTGCCCATGTATGTGTGTGTGTGTGTGTAGCATACAAGCTCCTCTGCTCGTGGATCTCACACCCTAGAGAGGGAGACAGGCACGCAATTATGTGATAACAAGCGGGCAGTGTGGGAGGCATGGCAGAGAAAGGAGGTGAAGGGTGACAGGCTGGTGGGGAGGGGGGCCTCCCTGAGGAGGTGGACTTTGCCCTGTGGCTTGAACAGGGTGATGGAGTCAGTCTTGAGACCACTGCTGGGGAAAGGCTGCTCTAGGCAGAGAGAGGAATAGGCATGAAGGCCCCAGGAGGGGAATGTGTCGCATTGTTGTAACAGCTGGTGGAGGCCTGCGTGCCCAGTGGAATAGGTTAGAAATGGTGCTTGTGCCGAGGTCCTGGTGTAAGACCTCGCATTTTATTCTATATGAGAGGGATGGATGGGAAGAAGAGAGGGCCCTGAGGTGATCACAAGGGCCCTGCGGCTGCGTGTGGGGAACAGACTGTGGGGGCAGGTCAGTGGAGGAAAAGGTTGGACTTTGGATTGTCTTAAGGTTGGAGTGACAAAGATTGCTCCATTTCTCACCTTCCCATCTCAGGAAACATTACCACCTTTGACGAAATAGTGTTAGTTGCTCAAGTCATGTCTGACTCTTTGAGACCCCATGAACTGTAGCCCAGTCCACAGAGGAGCCAGCCCCTCTGTCCATGGCATTTTCCAGCAAGAATACTGGAGTGGGTTGCCATTTCCTTCTCAGGGGATCTTCCTGACCCAGGGATCGAACCTGGGTCTCCTGCATTTCAGGCAGATTCTTTACCGCCCAGAGCTGGCTGCATGGTTCTGGGTTTGAAACCTCAGTTCCACTGCTCACAAGCCAGGGTGACCTTGGGCAAGCGACTTAAGCTCCCTGTGCCTCAGTTTCTTCCCTGATAAAATGGAGATTGTAACAGAACCTACCTCAAAGGATCACTGTGAGGCTAAAGTGAGCAGAGACTCAATATGTGTTAACTTCCATTGCCTTCACACGCCAAATGCGACCCCTCCAGAAGTCCTGTGTGGGTTGCTTTCTCCACTGTGGTGGTTTGCCTGGCCTATAACCTCTAGTCGGGGCAATGGGTAGGGCCTGGGAGGCTAGGTGAGCCTCCCCACATCTCCCCACCAGGTATCGACCTCACGGACATGGCTTCAGAGCTCCTTCAGCCCCCAAGTGACGACACGGCTCGCATCAGCTGGTTCCTCCATAGTCTCCTCACCAGATACCAAGAGACCTTCAGCGTCATCGAGAAGGTGACTCTGGGAGTCTAGCAGGGTGTCCCCCCCCCCACATGCTGCTCCCGGACCAGCCTTGACGCTGCCCCTTCTGTCCCTTCCCAGTGCCCTAAGCCGGTGATCGCCGCCATCCATGGAGGCTGCATTGGTGCAGGTGAGTCTGAACCCACCCACCCCAGATCTGTTGCTAGTTAGACTTTGCCCCAGGGTGCAAGCCCATGGTCTGGGAGTGGGGGTGGGTCAGTCCTGTGGTGCTTTAGTGTCTCTGGCCTCTATTTCCCAGGAGTGGATCTCATCACTGCCTGTGACATCCGATACGGCACCCGGGATTCTTTCTACCAAGTGAAGGCGAGCCATTCTCCCATGCTCCTGCTCCCTTGGGTCCTACTGAGGGCTGGGAAATGAGTGGCAGAGCCAGGTCAGAGCAGGCATGGAGCAAGCTACGGCGGTGGGAGTGAGCCTAGATGGCTTCATGGAAGAGTTAGAATGGAATCTTGGAAAGTAAAACTTGGCCGTGGGGGACATCAGGGGGAGGTCACGCAGTCAGTGTGAGGTCAAGAGTGAGTCAAGGTATAGGGGAGGGGAAGAAGGTGGGGGCTTTGCCTGAGTCAGCCCTGGAGCGGGTGGGAGGCAGGATGGAGCTCATGGATGGAGGGGGTCAAGGCAAGGCTTTTCCTGGAGATAGATGCAGCTGACCTCAAAGAGTTGGGAGGACAGAAGCATTGGAAGGTGGGCTATATTCTAGAGCAAAGGAACCTATGTGGGCAAAAGTACGTGGATGGGAATGAAAAGGGGTGTTTGGGAGGGGCGTCTCCGAGGTTAGAGTGTGGTGAGACTCTGAGGTAAATGCAGAGCTTCGCTGGCATTGAGGCTGCAGTGGGGACAATACTGGGCAGAATCCAAGAACTGACACTGTCGCTTCCCCTAGGAGGTGGACATAGGTTTGGCAGCAGATGTGGGAACCTTGCAGCGACTGCCCAAAGTCATCGGGAACCAGAGGTGGGTGAGAGGAGCCTGGGGAAGGGGACAGCAGGGCATCTCCTAAACCAGATACCATCCTCTCGCATGTCCTGCCCTCTTGCAGCCTGGTCAACGAGCTGGCCTACACTGCCCGCAAGATGATGGCTGACGAGGCCCTGGAGAGTGGACTGGTCAGGTAGGGGCTGAGGCCTGTGCTGGCTAAGAATTAAGGGGCAGCCAGACTTTGGTGGGGCTCCCTGGATTGCCATGCACCCTAATCACGGATTTCACGTGGCCTCCTCTTTGTGGGTGGTCTGGAGTCTACTGCCCTGCTCCGATTGGCCCATTTCACCAGCGCTGTCTTCCACTTTCTACTTCGATTGGCCACTTCTTCATCCATGGGAGGGAGAGGAGAGCTCTTCTCAGATTGCCTGATTTCCAATTCCTTTCATCCTTAGCCGTCTCTTCCCAGACAAGGAGAGCATGCTTGATGCGGCTTTCACCTTGGCAGCTGAGATTTCCAGCAAGAGCCCCGTGGCGGTGCAGGGCACAAAAATCAACCTGATCTACTCCCGCGACCATTCGGTGACGGAGAGCCTCAACTACATGGTGAGACTCTCCATCCAACCAATCACACCCATCTCTGATTCCCTGAGTGACCAATCAGGGAACAGCAGCCCTTTACAGTCCTTGTCCTCTGATTGGCTGGCTGCTATCTCCGTCCCATTTTTCATTGGTCCAACGAAAATATTCCTGTATCCTTTCTATTACCGGCTGCCATCTTTATCCAGAAATCCTGGAACATGAGCATGCTACAAACAAAGGACATCATGAAGTCTGTCCAGGCCGCAATAGAGAAGAAGGATCTGAAGACCATCACCTTCTCCAAGCTCTGAGAGGCCTGTCGTCCCAGGTCTTGGCGCAGGTCTGGCTTTGCCTGGCCTCCTGCCTGCGTGCTCTCGTTCACAGAAAGGGAGGATTCATAAAGATGGTCCAGCTTGCTGTCGTCTCAAGTCTCCCAGTTTATACCTTTATGACACATTTCTCCCTGCCTTATCTTTCCCCCACGAACAATAAAGCAATGTAAAGAACCCGGTGTCCTTGTTGGCAAGAGAGGCGAGGCAGAAAGAGTAGGTCGCACAATGACCCTGGGGGCTCTAAGGACCACGGTTGTGTTGAATGTTGGGAATAGAGATTTGACCAATGGGAATGGGAGCTGTGCAGGTGATGACCATTCAGAGTGTTGGTGGGCAGGACAGGCCTGGTAGAAAGTCACGTGACTCCCTTTGGGTTGACAAGGCTACAGATGATCTCCCTGCCTGCTTCATGCTTAAGGGCAGAGTCTACCCTGCCTGGTACCCACTCACTGCAGAACATAGTGTGATCCGGTGCTGGAGTGTGGCCAGGAGTCAACTGCTACCCACTCTTGCCCTCCCAACCTCCTAGGGAATTAGGACTAGGCGCTTTCACTGCGGTGGCCCAGGGTTCAATCATTGGTGGGGGAGCTAAGATCACACAAGCCTGGTGGCACCACCAAAAAAAATTAATTAAAACTAACCTCCTGGATTTATGTTTGGAATGAGAGCAAAGTATTATTTTCCGTCTTTTTAGTTTTTAGCATTAATTTGGTGTCTTGTATATGCCACATCCTATTCTGAATATTTATTAATTTAGTGATTCCTTTCAAAGACCCTATGAGGTTGATACTATTAATATTCTCCCATTTAACAAATGGGCAAATTGAAGTGAAGACACTGACCCAAGATCAAACAGCCAAGAAATGTCAGAGGAAGGAATTCAACCCAGAGCTTCTGGCTCCGGAAGTCAGTGATCTAAAGCACTACATATACAATACAATGTACAAGTAGAGCCATGCAGTGGGCAAGCAATAAATTTAGGTCTTTTCACAGCTCCTGGGAGTACCAAGAGTACCCAGTTCCTCCCTGCTTTCACTTTTTTCATTGCCCATCTGTTCTGGGCCACTCCTTTTAGCCTTGCCCTGCCCAACCCTCCTGGCCTCACCCTCCCTCTGCTAACAAAGGTCCAGTCAGGTTTTATGGACTCTGATAAGGGCCAAAGTTCACCAGCACTTCCTCTTTGCAAAAGAGGCTAGAGGGGCTCTGACCTGAGTCGCGCCAGGTGTGGCCCCAGTGATCTGGATGCTGGTTGGTCACTAGTGAGGCTGGTAAGAGAAGGGAGCCTGGGATGCACAGAAGAGGGGCCCCACGGTCCCTGCCCTGCCAACCACACCCTTATCCTCAGGTATAAGAGCCACCCACCACCTGCTAGCTGCCACCATTCACAACTCCTGCAGCTTTTCTCACAGGAGAAGTCACCAGCCCAGCCACTCAAGATGGCCTTTATCCCTGCACCAGGCTACCAGCCCACCTACAACCCGGTGAGATACCCTAACCCTGGGCTTAGCTCTACCCGGACCTCCACGCACAAATTTATCCTCATCCTGAGCCTCAGAGGCACCCATCTGTGACCCTCAGTTCTGATTTACCCAACACTGACCCTGGAGCCTGATTTACTCCCACTCTGACTCTCAGGCTATTTGCTTCCATCTGTAACTCAACTCTCTTCATCTCACTGATCCCTTCTGCTTTGGTTTCCTCTCTCTTGCTTAATGGAGTGGGGCTGGAGGGGCTTCTGAATAAATGGTAAGGGCTGCAATAGGCAGATGGCCTTTGAGGCCCCTCATCCAACCCCATCTGCAGACGCTGCCCTACCGCAACCCCATCCCAGGAGGTCTCAGAGTTGGAATGTCCATTTACATCCAAGGAGTGGCTAGTGAGCACATGAAGAGGTAAGACCCTCCCCTGTGCCTTGCGAGCAAAGGAGGAAGGGGGGAGGGGAAGGGGTGACTACAAACAGGGGGCTTCCAGCCCAAATGCAGCAGGCCCATTTCCCTTCCTCCACCCTGGCTGAGAAGTGGACTGTATGTCACTGCCTCGGATGGCCAAAGACCAGCCCTGGTCTGGAGAGTCCAGGGCGTGGTGATCAGATCAGGAGGGGGACCCTGGGGGCTGGGAGGTGTGAGGGAGACTCACCATGACAGATGGCCCCAAACTTGGGACACTGAATTGGAATTGATGGGTATGACAGCATGAATTAAGATCACGTGCTCAGAACGGGTCCACCTGAGTTCACATCCCAGATCTGTCACCAACAGTGTGACTGGGAAAGCTCTGTGTGCTTTACTTGCTCATCTGTAAAATGGGTTTTGAGGATTCAATGTGTAAAACGTGTAAGGTAGTATAGTCAGTGCTACAATAACTTAGCTTTTTAAAAAATGTTATTTTATTAATTTCTTTACTTTTGGCTGCGCTGGGTCTTCATTGCTGCTCGCAGGCTCTTCTCTAGTTGCAGCGAGTGGGGACCACTCTCTAGTGGCAGTGTGCAGGCTTCTTGTTGTGGTGGCTCAGCTTGATGTGAAGCACAGGCTCTAGAGCTCGGGCTTCAATACTTGTGATGCATGGGCGCAGTAGTTGCTGCTCACAAGCTTAGTTGCCCTGGCACATGTGGAATCTTCCCAGACCAGGGGTTGAACCTGTGTCCCTTTCACTGGCAAGCAGAGTCCAAACCACTGGGCTATCAGAGAAGTCCTTAGATTTTTTTTTATGGCTTTAAAATAGGATCGTTGTTTCTTTGTTCATTTTTTATACATCCACTGAACGCCCACTCTGTGCCTAGGCGCTGGGAACAGAGCAGTCAACAGGACAAAGATCCCTGGAGCTGACATCCTAGTAGAGGAGATGGATAAAAAATAAACTTAAATTAAATATACAATTTGGCAAATGGTGATAAATGCTATGGAGACAAATAAGGAGAGAAGAGAGATGGGAAACAGATGTGGGGAGAGAATGTGGCATTGTCCCATTAAATAAGGTGGCCAGGGAAGGGAGCTTTTCAGCAAAGACCTGAAGGAGATGAGGGAGGGAGTCTAGAGTGTATGGGAGGGAAGAGCATTCCAGGCAGAGAGAACAGCCAGTGCAAAGGTCCTGAGGCAGGTGTGTGCCTGCCCCCTTGCAGTAATCTGTGGGATGCTCATGTGAAGGGAGCTGTGGAAAGTGCTCGGATTTGGGTCTTCCGGACGACAGAGAATGAGATGGTTGGATGGCATCACTGACTCCATGGACATGAGTTTGAACAAGCTCCAGGAGTTGGTGATGGACAGGGAAGCCTGGCATGCAGCAGTCCATGGAGCCGCGAAGAGTCAAAGACAGGACTGAGCGACTGAACTGAACTGAACAGTCCCTCTGTCTGCACGTGGGGAATGGGCTTCAGGAACTGGGGCAGGAACTGAGACTTGAACTTATAGATTCAAGTTTGCCGGGGCAAACGCAGGAGTCCCAGGGGCGCTCCTATTTGAAACTGGGTGGGGGAAGGGTTTCTCAAAAAGACAGGGAGTGAGCGAAGGGGTAGCAGTGGGAAGCTGCCCCTTGGAATGCGGCCAGGGGTAGAGCCCTCCGTGTTCCGCCAGGTTCTTCGTGAACTTCGAGGTGGGGCAGGGCCAAGGGGCAGACGTCGCCTTCCACTTCAATCCCCGCTTTGATGGCTGGGATAAGGTGGTCTTCAACTCGAAGCAGAACGGCTCGTGGGGCGACGAGGAGAGGAAAACGAGCATGCCCTTCCGCAAGGGCGCGGCCTTCGAGCTGGTGTTCATGGTCATGACAGAGCACTTCAAGGTCAGAGCCGTGGGGGCGGGGCCTCCACCCACCTGCCCCTCCCTCCCTCCCTGGGGGCGGGGCCTCCCCTCCCCGCTCCTCCCTCCCTCCCTGGGGGCGGGGCCTCCCCTCCCCGCTCCTCCCTCCCTCCCTCCCTTCCTTCCTTCTTGTTTGCCTGCCTGCGTTTCTTCCACTACTCCCTCCACTCTCCGTTTCTTTCTTCTTTTTCCCTCTCTCCCTTCTCCCTCCCTCCTCCCTTTTTTCTTTTCTTTTCCTCCTTTCCTGCCTATTAAACAATTCTCTTTTTCTTTTAATTCTTTTTTTTCATTAAAAATTTTTTAAATATAAATTCTCTCATCTCTTTTTCTTATTCCCATTCCTCCACCATGGAGAGCCTTCTGACATGTTTCGCGTTTATCATCTTGCCCCTCTGTGTTCTTGCGAGATTCAGATTTGTGTCCAACTCTTTGCCACCCCATGGACTGCAGCCCGCCAGGCTCCTCTGTGCCTGAAATTTTCCAGGCAAGAATACTGGAGTGGGTTGCCCTTCTCCTCAGGGGATCTTCCTGACCCAGGCGTCGAACCCAGGTTTCCCACATTGCAGGCAGACTCTACCTTCTGAGCCTCTAGGGAAGCCCAAACACACACAAAAGGAAGCACCAAATTCTGGGAAACCCTCCTCTCCTGGGCCAGGGCTGACAGCTGTCAACTCCAGGTCTGTCGCTCCCATCTCTACCTGCCACCTCCCCTCCCCTATTATTTAACAGCAAATCCTAGATATCATATAATTTCATTCATAATATTTTTGTTTTTAAAAACACAGGCAGGCTGCCACTATCAGACCTAAAAAAATGTTCAGTTCTTCCTTAGGGTCATCACACAGCCAGTGATCCCGTCATCTCATGAATGCCGTAATGTTTGATGTTGCCTACATTTCATTTGAATCAGCATCCAAAAAAGGCCCACATATTGTGATTGATTACTATTATGGGAATTTTTTTAAATATTTATTGAAGTGTGACCCAGGTACAGAAAACTGCGTAGACAGCTGACTGGTTGTTCACAAAGCGAACACACGTGTAACCAGCTCCTAGATGGAGAAACAGAACCCTCCTGGTGCCCTCAGCCCCAGGGGTGGCCTTTATCCTGATTCTGTGATCTGATCTGTTTCTGTGACTTTGTTTTTTTAAGTGTGTATGCACCCATGCTTTGTATTCCCCTCTACT